AAGATTTAAAAGTAAGTTAAATATTTTCTAAATATGTTACTTGTCAATGTAGTAAGATACCAAGGATAAAAATTAAAAACAAAAACTCGATGTATCTCTCTTACCTGGAATATGGAAGTTAGAATCTGAAGTCTGATTGCAGCAATTCTGAGAAGGTTGTTGAGAGCGGTATGTATGTATGTATGTATGTATGTATGTATGTATGTATGTATGTATGTATGTATGTATGTATGTATGTATGTATGTATGTATGTATGTATGTATGTATGTATGTATGTATGTATGTATGTATGTATGTATGTATGTATGTATGTATGTATGTATGTATGCATGCATGCATATATATATATATATATATATATATATATATATATATATATATATATATATATATATATATATACATACATACATACATACATACATACATACATACATACATACATACATACATACATTCATACATACATACATACATACATACATACATACATACATACATACATACATACATACATACATACATACATACATATACATACATATACATACATACATACATACATACATACATACATACATACATACATACATTTGCTTTGTTCTTAATACGCCACATTCAGCTTCAATGTGTGTTCATTTAACGAAAAGCCCTCCATTTTGAATTCTGCTTCCCAGAAAAATTTACCTCGTCAAAATTGCCTACAGTGCAAAACTCAGACTTGAAATACCTTAATTTCTGTCCTTGTGGCTTTCTTTACGTCAGCTGCTGGGAATGTGGCTGGCGTAAATCGTTTTTCTTGTCTAGTTGCTGTCTTTATTTATTAGATATACAAGAATGTTGTAGTACATAAGAAAAATGGTAATCTCTACTGAAGATTTGTTTTACAATAATACAACTCTAAGAATGATATACTTTATTGAAAACATACAATTTTGAGATACTCATTACAAAAATTCGAACAACAATCATATCATCTATGTTTTAATTATACAAATATAAATGTCAATCCCAAATTTTACATTTTATAAAAATTCCTTAAAAATTCTATCGTGACACAGCAAATAATATTTAAATAAAGACGAGCAAACGTTTTTACATGATTACATCGAAATAAAACAATATGAATGTTCAGTTAGACTTTCTCTCTCTCTCTCTCTCTCTCTCTCTCTCTCTCTCTCTCTCTCTCTCTCTCTCTCTCTCTCTCGTGCTTACAGTAGAAACTTACGATCACTAATATCTAATTTTTAAAATAATTTTTGCTTAATTTTATTAATATTTTTCTTTCTCCTTGTAATTATGTCTCGTTTTATTACAATTTTTTCATTTAAGTTGGACGCTTGATATTTGTCTTAGGACGGTAGTTAGATATATTTGTTTTTCATGAATGGCTCCAGGATTAATGTCGGCTTCCGGTGACAGTTAGATTTATGACGTAGTTAGTGATTTGTGTTTCTTCTCCATTCATATTTATCCTTAGCCAGGAGTAGTGCATCAAATTCAACTACGTGTTTACCTCATCATAAGATATATACTTTTTACTATATATATATATGTATGATAAGCAGTGCAAACAAGAGTACATCTAATATTTCTTACCAGTCGGAATATCTTCGTTTCTTTCCTATGCTAGGAGAATAATTTAGGCTCTCTGAAGGATTTAAACCTGTACCATGTCGGAGCTTTAGGTGGCACTCTATAGTTTCGTATTTTGTGTAGGGTTAGATTTTAAAAGAAAAAGCAATTCTCTGGTTGTCCTCACCGGTGGTACAGGCTACTTAAAACAAGGCCTTGTATATCATAAGGATTGTTAAAAATATTTTAATTCCCTTTATTTTGGTGTATGCTTGATGTGTAATATGAGTCATAGAATATACAGCCTGGCTTTTCTTCACGTGTGCTCCTTTAAATGTTTTGCTTGGTCGTTTTCACTTACTGAATTTCTGAAGTAAATTGTAAAAAAGGGCGATAACTTGTCTTTACATTTAATGTACTTTGTAATGCATTCATTGCGCTTTCAGAAGCTGGCATTGTCAAATTTGGCAAAGATCGTTTCCTTAATTTTAATAACTGCTAAGAATAACGTACTTTAGACTAATTCAAGTTAATTTGATAAGTATAAATGAGCATTTGTTTCAGTTAGTTTGCTTAGATCATGTGTGTTTGTGTGTGTGTGTGTGTGTTTATGATTTTAACGTAGCTTTTAACAATTTTTCAGTCATATCACTACGATGTCTGCAGTGTAGCAGTTTATAGTGATGTCTAGCACTGGGGCATCATGCCGCAGACATATAGCATGATGTCCCACCCAGTCACATTATCCTGACACCAGGCCGACCAGTCCTAACACTAACCTCTTAATGCTGAGCGTCAAGCGAGGCAGCTGTTAGTACCATTTTTGTAAGTCTTTGGTATGACTCGACCGGGGATCGAACCCACGACCTCCCGCATCCGAGGCGGACGCTCTAACCACTAGGCCACCGGAGCGGTTACTTAGATCATGTAAATTGTTCGCTAGTACAATATCCAAAGAAATTTTAACCACAGTACATAAAAGAATCATAAAGATATGCCTACATTTTTTCCATTTTGTTCCAAATTTAAACAATTTCACCATACACCCGCCACTCGTAATATCTTTAGAACGCCCTCATAAAGATCACATAGGTATTATTATATGACATTAGTTTGATTCTATTGCCGAAACATTTACAAGCATCAAAACAGTCCTTTTGAATAATTGTCATGTACCCAGCCCGAACAGTATTTATTAGTGTAAAGACCCATATTAGTCCAGCCCCCAACCACGTCGATTTAATGTATGCTATTTTAAAAAATGGATATTGCATTATGTCAACACAGCAACAAATGCAGTGCTGAAAGACAAGACATAAAGCTTTGCCACACTTATTCCTTAGATATCATCAATAAATTTTATGTTTGAAAAGGGATAGGACAGATGAGTTTTACGGTTGTCAAAGGTTCAAATATTTCTTTATTGTTCTAACGCTAGAAGATGGAAGAAAGGAATTTTGATTTGTCATCATTTATTTCGTGTTTCTGTTACAAATGCATGAGAAGAAACATTTGTACTATGTATTTTCTTCACTTAAGAACAAGTTTTAAATTTAAGTTGGCTTAACTACTGTGTTTTTAGACTTCTAATTTCGCCGTAATTATGATCATTGCACACAATACTGCCTCAAGGCACATTCTTTAAGCATGACCAAAATAAGCAATATTACCGTATTTAAATGCATAACACCAACGTTAAATTACTATTTTATTCAGAAGATAATAGATTATAATTTGAAAATAAGAAAAAATATTTGCACAAATGATCATATTTGTTTTATCTTAACCAGTATGACGGTGCCAGAGTTTGGCTGGTCATTGGCACGGTATTTACGCAGTTTTTGGATTTTTTATTTTGATCGTGTGCAGTCTATATGATATGACAATGACGAGTCGCAGAAAGCAAATACCATGAATGCGACATAATACTACATACAACGTCAATTTGGCATGCAGACATTAGCTCATTCCCAGTATCGTTGAACACTGTAGCAAAATCTGTTCTTTTTTTACTTTGATATCGTTTAGATAATTATGGAGGTTTTACAATATTTTTAAAGAAAGTACTCATATGTATACAATTATAGTGTTTAAATATGTTATCTTTATACTTATACGGAAAACCATTTATCACACGTTTGACCGGCAAGGTCGAATGATGTTTTGTTGGCCTCTGTGGCCTTAACTAAAACCTTGCTACGAGTTAGTGCTATCAAAAAGATTCAAGTTAGGTCAAGAATATGTTTCTACGTATTTCTCTCCAGTTTGCACGGAATAACTCGAAGCATTCCATTGCAAATGAAAGGATCACTTGTGAAGCTTCCTATCACATACTTCCAAGTCCTGTGTTGAAATGATTGCATTTAAATGTTTTCTTTAAATTTCATGTTGCTATATGGATGTCGGTGTGTTTATGTGAGACATAATAATGATAATAGAACTTTTGAGATCCTACTCTCGAGATGCTACTGAACTCCAAACTGTAATATGAGAACAATAAGAACGGCGACGAAGGCTTAAAATAGGAATATGATACTGCAGCTAACAATATAAAAAAATGATATAAAGCGCATATTTAAGGATACAATCATGTGAAAGACGAATTATAAACTATTTTGTTAATGATGCTGCTGCATAATTAGCGATTAGGTTCTTTGGGTACCCTACTGCAGCCATAAATGACTGGAAGCCTCCATCATCAGGCACACAACCCATACATCAATAATCGGCAGTTTCGGTCGTCAGCTATAAATGCACCCATCAATAATCTGCGGTCTCGATCGTCAGGTACACAGCACAGTTATTAACAATCGGTTATCTCGATCACCAGGGACAAAACATTCATCGATAATGGGACGTTTCAACGTTTCAATCATCGTGTACGCAACAGTCATCAATAATCGGATGTTTCAATCATCGTGTAAGCAACATTCATCAATAATCGGACGTTTCGGTTATCAGGTACACAACACGGTCATCAATAGTCGGACTTGATCAATAATAGCTGAAGTGCGTGGCGTAAATTACTAGAAATGTATCTTCATCATTGGTGTGTTTTCTCCAGTGGCTAATGTGAGTCAACTTAAAAATGTTAAAACGATCCGAGGAGCCATGGCAAGCGTAGAAAATTTGGTTGAGGGAAACAGAATAAGGGCCTAGTGTTTTGACTCTATGTTTATGTAATGTGATGTGATGTGATTATGATTTTTAACGTAGCTTTAACGATTGTTCAGTCTTATCTCTACGATGTCTGTAGTGTGGCAGTTTGTAGTGATGCCTAGCACTGGGACATCATGTCGCAGACATGTAGCATGATGTCCTCCTCAGATACATTATCCTGACACCAAGCCGACCAGTCTTAACACTAACCTCTTATTGCTGAGCGTCAAGCGAGTCAGCTTTTAGTACCGTACCATTTTTGTAAATCTTTGGTATGACTTGACCGGGATCGAACCAACGACCTCCTGCATCCGAGGCGGACGATCTAACCACTAGGCCACCGGAGAGGTTCTCTATGTTCATTAACTAAATTACAGAAAGAAGCAAAACCAGTACGTTTTGTAAAACTTAACAAATAATTTAATTTTGTAAATTCTAAAATGAACATTTAAGACGAATTTAACAGTCTTATGAATTAAATCCAAACTAATCGTCAAAAATTATACACAAGTCCAAAAGAATCGAGTGAATCACATTGGCGTTGTCCAGAGCCTCTTTGAATAAATTCACAGCAATCCAATCCAATGATAATATTTAGCCCAATGAACATTTTGTAATTCCAATTATTAATCCCAATTTTTCCTCTCAAATTATATCTAAACAGAGCATTAAACACAACTGTAGGCTAATGTTAAAACAAAAATTAATATGTCATGAATTAATTTTCCACCTCTACTTCGTTATTTTATACTCATGAGGTCCCGATTCGCTGTATTTTCCAACTCGTATTGTGACTTCTGTCGTAATAGCCGACGTCGCAACAGAACCCACCTGATCGAACCATCCAATGGATTTTTCTCCAAACTCGTAAGAAGGTTTATTATTGAAAACTTTTCAAGACCTATTTGTATATACAATACGATCTACAGACATGGAGCAAAAGTAAAAATCACGGTATAAATACATATTACTTGTTGTTGGGTGATTTCTAGCAATGAAATAGATACAATTCTTACTAGAAGAAACATTTATTTCTGAAAGGAAGCGGAGTAAAGGAGAACCAGAAAGGATGCGCTAAATTAAGAACATTCTAAAGGCTGAAACCTATATTTCTGTCGAATCTGATATAAAAACAAACTATACATAAGTGCTAAAAATAGAAATGATTTCTACTGTACAACAAGACGATATGGTTATGCAAGAAAGGGTAATATGCAAAGTTAAGACCTCTCAGCATTGCTCGGATAAGGATAGCAGACTACCATGACTCTCATGGCTATGCAATGAAAGGTAGTATGCAAATTAAGATGTCTCAACCTTGTTTGGATCTTTCAAATTCAAGCAACAGACATTCAGCGAATCAGGTAGGACAGCAGTCTCGCATACAACGTTAATGAAATTCGACATGACCCACTCACTAGCCATTGCATGTCACTTATTTCTTTATATATGCAGTACACCGTGATTAAAAAAAATTCGGTGACGTGCCCACAACGGTTTTGACTTTGGGACAAATGACAATCAGCAATTGTCATCAATCATCAGTTTACCATCATCAGAGACTATAGCACTTAGATCCACCAGCCACATATTATTATTATTATTATTATTATTATTATTATTATTATTATTATTATTATTATTATTATTATTATTATTATTATTATTATTATTCACAGCAATACAGATGCCAAGGCAAATTCCTACCAATAGTCCGAGCGTTACTAGTATTGCACCCTTATCCACGATGTCTGCTTTTAGCAATGTCCCTCTTTCTGGCATGTATTTCCATGGCAACCTGGGGGTAGAATGGCCGCAGTCATTTGGGGGATCCCTTTCGACGCAAATGACGTCATATTTTACTGGCGAGGATAAAGGCGATGACAGGCGAATCAAAAGTAAGTTGACATAAAAAAATTAATAATGGTAAATCGTACGTTATATTTCCTGTCGTTTGGGTTGAAAAACATTGTGCGTTTTGAAAAAACATTTATGAGAAGTATCGAGGCAAAATTTCTAACCAATTTTTACCCCCCCAATACAATGATATTTTGATTAAATTCCGAAGTTTACGTGTCTTTTGTTTACTTATTGAGAGATGCAACATCGTTACATTTCCGACCTTTGCAGAACTGGGACATGCAAAGTTTCAATCTAAAATATACAATAACTTCTAGCGCCTCAGCCATGAAAAACATTTCGCTAAGAATTACAATTTGATTTTCAGTTACAAATGCTTTTTTCTTAGAAATAAAAAGGTAGAAAATCCGTTTTAGAATCAAGTAAATAGTGTTTCTTTAATGTACAAAATATGATCATTTCACAGATATAAGACTCGAGAGAGTGTCTTATGTTGGATTGTTGAGCCCAAGATCATCTGTTTCTATTGTTTTTTGCTTTTCTTTTGTCCAGAGACTTTCATGACATAGAGGCCTTTCCTTTCATATACAGCGCATTTGGCAGGAAGCCACTCACGAATGAGCCTGGAAAGGTCATTAACTATCATAGTTGCATCATCTATAAACACGTTGCATAATACTTTATCTTCGCAACGAGAAAAAAAATTCCTGACTGGCTTGTACTAAAGTAAAATCTGAGACTCCTCTCTAAGATCTCAAAGAAAATCAAGCACGTGACTTAAAGAGCATAGTATTGAAGAAGGATGAAAAGATGACAACAATATTAATATTGTCAACTGTAACTGACGATTTACTAAAATATTATGTTGAAAATTAAAATTCCGTATTCATGAAACCTTTTGAGCATATCACCCATAATCTCAAAGGCTCCATGAGCATAATTTTATTGAAATAATGTTGCCATGAGTATATTTGTATTCCTGTAAATGTTGCCATGAGTATAATCATATTCCTATAAATGTTGCTATGAGTATAATTATATTCCTATAAATGTTGCCATGAGTATAATTGTATTCCTATATATGTTGCCATGAGTACAATTATATTCCTATAAACGTTGCCATGAGTATAATTGTATTCCTATACATGTTGCTATGAGTATAATTGTATTCCTATAAATGTTGCCACGAGTATAATTGTATTCCTATAAATGTTGCCATGAGTATAATTGTATTCCTATAAATGTTGCCATGAGTATAATTGTATTCCTAAAAATGTTGCCATGAGTATAATTGCATTCCTATAAATGTTGTCATGAGTATAATTGTATTCCTATAAACGTTGCCATGAGTATAATTGTATTCCTATAAATGTTGCTATGAGTATAATTGTATTCCTATAAATGTTGCCACGAGTATAATTGTATTCCTATAAATGTTGCCATGAGTATAATTGTATTCCTATAAATGTTGCCATGAGTATAATTGTATTCCTATAAATGTTGCCATGAGTATAATTGTATTCCTAAAAATGTTGCCATGAGTATAATTGCATTCCTATAAATGTTGTCATGAGTATAATTGTATTCCTATAAATGTTGCCATGAGTATAATTGTATTCCTATAAATGTTGTCATGAGTATAATTGTATTCCTATAAATGTTGCCATGAGTATAATTGCATTCCTATAAATGTTGTCATGAGTATAATTGTATTCCTATAAAAGTTGCCATGACTATGACTTCATTCCTATAAAAGTTTCGTTATCAATAATAAGATTCCTATAAACGTTGCCACGGGAATTATTGTATTTCTCTAAAAGTTCCAAGATGTTGCAGACTTTATGCCTGAGGACTTTTTAACATTTGATTAGTGGTAGAAAAACCATGTTTTAGAGTCAGGGCATCTCTTATTATATGTTACTGTGTCTACATTCACATTCATATCTTATACTTAAGGCAACTGTCTGGGCTTATTTTAGTGTGTACATTTTCAGGAACGTAACTGGAAGCATAATTTCATTCAGTATATTTATGTATATGTTCACACACATATTCACACTTTAAAACACAATATTTCTGTGTATATTTTAGTGTGTGCTTGTTCACACGTGTATCCACATTTTGAGGCAGATTGTCCCTGAGTGTATTTAGTGCATGCACGTTCGCAAAGGTACCTAAGTTAAGGTAGAATTTATCGGGGTATATTGCACGTTTTACAGTGGACATATATATGGTGAACTATATGCATTGCGTCTTGCATCATAGATAGAACATTTATATATCGTCTATGCTGGCTTATAAGTATAGACAAACTGCAAGCAACAATAATCCTCATCTGCCGTACCATAATGCACCTGCAGTTCTGTGCCTATATTATTGGGTCCACTAAATACTCCAAAGTGCTCAGATCCAGATCTTTTGGAGCATTATTCGACGGCAGATCTAGGTCTGTCCAGTTTGCAATTTAACCAGGCTTAGTACAATTAATGAAATGCCTTTTTATGTCGCATTAGGAAAAAAAACATGTTGCCTAAATCAGACAGCTAATTGAAATTGCTGTTCCAGTGTGCTCGAGAGATTTACCTGAACTTGTCATTGAAATAGGTAAAATTAATTTTGTCAGAGTAGAAATACTATTGTTTGACAGAGGAATAAATGAATTATATTATGTAGAAGGGAACCACTTCTGAGTGTTTACATGTTTACTGCGTATGCACACATTGAATTCAAATTTCTGACTGTGTGGACATGTTCACATACACATCAACAATTGGTACGAACCGCTCAGGTGGTCTTGTGGTTAGAGTGTCCGCCTCGGATGCGGGAGCTCGGGGTTCGACCCCCAGCCGTGTCATACCAAACACACAAATGGTACTAACAGCTGCCTCGTTTGACGCTCAGCATTAAGAGGTTAGTGTTAGGATTAGTCGGCCCGGTGTCAGGATAATGTGACTGGGTGGGACATCATGCTACATATCTGCGGCATGATGCCCCAGTGCTAGACATCACTATAAACTGCCACACTGCAGATATCGTATCGTCGATAGGACTGACAAATTGTTAAAGCTTCGTTAAAATTCTAAATCACACACACACACACACACACACACACACACACACACACACACACAAACACACACACACACAATAAGTACGACCTTTTTATCTGCACGAGGATAATTGAAAATTATTTTTCTCTTCTTCAGCCACAAACACGTCTTTTGAGGGTCTCCACAATTCACAAGAAACGACTTTCCACGAGATCAATGGCATGGAAGTAAGATCTAGCATTGCAGCTTTACGCATGCGCGCCAGGGAACATTCTCACCACCTGGGTATGCAGTCTTAAACACTATGATTGCATATCACAGCGTAATTATTATCAAATACATTCGAACATAAATCGGGAACAAAACAACTTGTTTCCCACAATTTTAGATCTAGGCGCTTCCTAGACATAATATGTAGAGAATGGACGATAACAACA